TGAAAGGGGTAGAGGGAGGTTGGTGTAAATGGCAACCAAGCTCATAGATTAGGTATGGTCATTCACCCATGAGCCCTTTGAGATGGTTGCTCTGGGGAGGGCTGAGCAGTTTATTGTTGGTGCTGAGGGCAGAATGGATTCCACCTACCTGTGGGCAATGGTCTGATAGTGAAGTCTGAACAGGAAATAAAGTGCTGCTCATGTGTGGCCGTGGCAGGACGGATCTGCTTTGTGGCAGTGCAGTGAAGGAGGCAACTCCCTGTAAGACCCTTGTCTCAGTTGTTCCAGAAGCCAGGATGTATGCTAAGAATGAGGCAGGGGATGGCAGGAAGACAAGGGACAATCTCCTGGTTCATGGCTGGGCACTGTCCTAGAAAACCAGGCCTGCATCTTCAGAGAGGGTGCATCTCCACCAGTAATTCTCAATCAGGGGGCCACGGGATCCTTTGAAGGAGAAAAGCAGATAAGTGCAGGCTAAGGCTTGTCCCTGTCTGGCCAATCTCTTACCCTAACTGCCCACCCTGTCTTCAAGGAAGCAAGCACTGTAATATAATAATTAGTTTTTGAAATTGGGTGCCATGCAGTTCACAACACTTATGGAGGGGAGGCCTCGAGTCCAGTGAGGGGTCCCTCAAGTCCAAAGAAAAGGTTGAGAGCCACTGTACTACACCGAACAGAGCCATGCCATGCAGAGGGATTGAACTAGCCAAGAATCCACAGCAGTATAGCAGTACTCTGCCTAGGAGCAGGGTATGTCACCATGTGTCCACTAACACGATGGTACTGTTTGGGGTCCCGAGTAAGCTCATTCAGAGCAGCCTCAGGTATCCCTGCATAGCTCTGGATCATGAAGAACAGACAGGAACTCTCCTGTTTCCTTTGTGAGGCTAGGGAGGGGCCTATGGACATCACAACATGTGGTCCTGTGATTAAACACTACATCCTAATACACATGCAGCAAAGGGGACATATTTTAAGGTTGCAAGGCTAGCCCTAAGTCCGGCATGCCCTCATTTTTAAATGCTTCACTTTGCAGCCTGGATATTCTTTAAAGTCATTTTTGTATGTGCAATTGAACAAAGCTGTTGATATGTGCCATCAAATAAAGGATAGGGGCAAGCAGAGAGGCGCCTGCTGACTGCCCAAAGTTTCAAGTCACTAAAAGTTTCTTTGGTATTTGTGCTTCAGTAATTTTCACTTGAGATTAAATGCTGGCTCGCAGGCTGTAAAACAAAATGCAATGGGACACAGAGTCTGTCTGAAATCAGTGCAATGCCTCAGCTGGCAGCTGCAGTGAATTTATCTTTACATGGCAAAAAGTGTGGCATCTATATATAGTCACTGATCCTTCTAATTCCTGAGGGATATTTTTTTTTGTAGCTCTGGAAAAAAAACAGTGCATCATGTAAGCCTCTTTAACTCGTCCCTTCTGCTACAAGATCATCCATGAACAGCTGATTTTTATAGACCAGTTTGGCTCAGGAAAGAATACAAAGCAAACTCTTTTTTGCTTCAAGGAAAGGTTGCCTTACATATTTTAATCCTGTATTTAATTAAGTCACCTAATTAACGATAGCAACTATGGAATAAAAGGAACTAGAGTTTGGGGAAATCATTAAGCACTGAAATGGCTCTGTGCTCAGCTTCGGTAATGAGTTGTGAAACTGAAAAATCTATTTACATACTTCCCATTCAGGTGCTGTAAGCACTTGCAGGCAAAGCCACTCTGGGAGAGTTGGAATAACTTTTATTTTAAAGGAGAAAAACGCTTGCTGGGCATTAGGACACTTTTACCATACGGGACAGTTGAAGGAATTACAATGGGTGGAGCAGAGGACTGGGTTCCTGGGAGGATACTGTTCCTAGTGCTGTCTTATGATCTTGTACCAGTAACACACGTGTCAGTGTTTTCCACCACTAAAATGAGTATAATTATACAGTACTTCTAAGAGGTGGATTAGGGATGATCCAGAAGTAGCTATGCCTATGCTATACTGTGTGGATTTTCCTATGTTTCTGGGCTTTGCTGATTGCTGCATGAGGTGGGAAGGAATTTTTGCCTCCTCCTGTTGCTACATGTCAGGGACCCTTTTTTTAACCTTCCTCAGGGGCATTGTGTGTTGCCCGAAGGCAAGGCTGGGATTTTGACTGGGCTGTGCCAGTGCTCCTGCTGGGACTAAAACCTGGTAGTTCCTGGCTAGAGGGTTTTGCCCTTGCTCCGGCCTGTTCTGTGGGAGGTGATCTGATCACACTCTCCCTGTGGTTGCCTCTGAGGCACCCTGAGGAGATCTGGTGTCTTGTGAATGTGCCTTTCAGTTGAACAACAAGGGTCAAGGTCAGACTGATCATCACTTTTGGGACCAGGAAATAATTTTACCCCATGGTCAGGTTGGTACAGATTGACAGGTTGGGTTTTGCCTTTCTCGGTAGCAGGGCGGCCTGGCCGTCTTCCTGGGATCTCGAGTGTGTTCCAACAACCCTTGCAGCAGCAGGACACTGACCACTGTTATCTCTCTGCTTTACCTTTGGCAAGTAGGGTGCCATGTCTTGTGGTTGTGTGACAGGGTTGCCTGTGTAGTTAGGTGAGACAAGGATTTGCTTGAGTGGTTTGGATGATCCTACCTCAGGGAATGACCTTTGGAGGTCCCTTCTAGCCCTACTTCTCTATTCTATAGATGCTACAGAGCTGAGGTTAGAGCCTTAAAGAAGACCAAGACCCTCAAAGAGGTAGTGAGGTGCTTAACTCCTACTTTGGTGCCTACTTCGTATTGACATTGATGACACTGCGTGAGATGAATGGGAGTTGGGCAGCTCATTACCTTTGAGGTAGGTGAGTGCCAGGGGAAGGCAATAGGAGACAAGCTTCCAGTTCCCTTTGGCTCTTTTGAAGAGCCCAGCAACACTGTGTCTGTGAGGACATGAACTGAAAGGCAGACGGATGATATCTTAACAGGGCACCAAGAGTGGAACCGCTCATAGCTACCTGTCGCATAGCATCTACCACCTGTCAATCACAGTCCTATGCGAGTACTGCACTGAGCATCGACATCATATGACAGGAACTAACATTATGTTCATCTAACATTATATATGCACTTTAGTTAGTCTATGAGGTACAAAGCTCCCCAGCCTGCCACCTGACTTCAGACTACAGTGGTTACTTCTCTCAGCACCTAACATTTCCATTTTCCATTCACGCAGCCCAGCAAACCCTTATTTACCTGAGTTAATACTTGCAGGATCGAGCCCAAGCTCTACTGACTGCATAAAAAGTGTTTCTCAAAGGATCAGCAATAACCTATGTGACAGATTTATCTGGGTGAAATGGCAATTTTGGTTCCCTTCACAAGGCATGTCACATCTGCATGGGGACTTTCATACAGATTCCCCGAGCTTCGCATCCAGAAGAGACATAGAAGGAGTAGGAAGATGGAAAGGCCTCTATTCCATTTGAGAGTTGAGTGGGGAAGGCACAGGACAGGTGTCAGGAGCCTCACTTCTTTAGGCCTTTGTTTGCCCTGCAGTTTGGTCTGCAAGGTCAGCAAGCTTTTTGGGGCAAGGGCCGTCCGTAACTATGCACATGTCTGGTGCCCAGCTCAATTAGGGCTTCTAGGTGCTACTAAAATATAACTCTGTTATTTTGTGGGTGGAGTTCTCTCCTTGATATTCTAAATAGGCAAGTCTGATCCTGTAGCTCTCATTCAGACACAATTATTTGCAAGACTGTTCACTTGTTGCCTGGTGAAAGCCTCGTTGCACATTAACAAAGTCTGGGAAGAACCCGCGGGACGTTGCATTCTTGCATTGGCTGAAGATGAACGGCAGGAGGCAAGAAGCGCCAACACTAGTAGGCTCTCCGTATCTGAGCAGCACTGTGTATTTGTTTGGTCCTCTGTTACCTATTCAATTCAATTTGTCTCTGGACATAAAAACACTAAAGCCCCTCAACAGAACAAAGCTGGGTAGAATCAGCTAAATCTGGAACGACCCATCAAGGCAGAGAATGATCTTGATGATCCCATGATCTTGCCCCAGGCCTGGCCTTGAGGTAAGGTGGTCCTCTTGCTGCTGATTACTCCTCTCGGAGGAGCAGGCAGTCCTTGACAGGCAGGTAGTCCGAAGCTGACTTAGGCTAACATGACATTGCCTTCTAGCAACGTTGTGCCATGGAACCAAGGCCTGCTTTTTTCTGAACATGTGGCTTGGATGGAATGACTCAGATGTCCGCTATCTGCCCTCCTGTGGCCCAGGTCCCAGCAATGTCACTGCTTCCGCATAAGTTAAACACTTATTTAGCAGCCTGGAGAAACTAAACAATGGACATGTGGGATTGAGGCTTCGTGGCTCACTGACTACATTTCCGATCTCTGGATTGTAGACAACGGGATAAACAGAAACATTCCAAGGGATTGCCTCTTTGTTGGAAAAACCTAGGAGACCCCAGGCACAGGACCAGCCAGACTGGGTCAAACCGCAGGCCTATTTCTCACAGTGGCGAAGAGCAGATGCTAAAGGGAAAAATATTTAAGCAGGGCATAACCAGACTGAGCTGTCCCCTGCCCCTCGTTGCCTACAGGTCCCAGCTTTTAGAGGCAATACTGGAAGCTGTACTTGTGTGGGGAGCTTGCTCTTGCCACAGTAAACCCTAAACCTCAGGCAGATCTGGCCTCAAACCCAGGTGCTTCTCTTCAATGAGTGGGTCTTGAAAGCTCCCTTGAGGATGACACTTTAGGGGTGACCCAGTTCCCAGCTGCAGAGGAGATCGTGGTAAAGGACAACAAAGCCTGGGGCTTCCATATCTGTAGGACAGAGCCTCTTGGAAAGCTGGGGCAGAGGAGCAATATGCATCCCACACACCAATGCAGATCTGGCTTTGGCCTTCCTTTCCATGCAGGCTTAGGGTGGGCGGATTAATGGCTTTGCAGACCCTCTATGCATGGATAGATCCCACAGGCAACGAAAGAAAAGGGGAAGCAGTAAAATGCTCTACATAATCTTACTTCTATATGCTCCCCATTCATGCTGCTCAACTCCAGGTCTTTTTCCCTTCTCTTTTGCAGCCTCCAGCTGATCCTCAGCTCCTTTTTCTTCTCAGCTGCCTTGCTCTGATGCACCCTGCTCTGCGCATGACTGCTTTGAAGTGAAGCTCCTCAGATCCCCTGCTTTGAGCAGCCCCACACGTTGCTTCAGAGACCTGGACTTTGCTTCACTTGGCTGCTTGCTCCTTGAAGGAACAGAACCCAGCAGCTGGGAGGAGAAGCGGGGAAGCTAATTAAAAGGGGAATAAAAACATACAACTTGGAGGTTTGCTTTAATTTTTGAACAGAGGAAAAGAAAAGAATTGCCATGTGGGAAGGATCTCAGCAACTGTTTTTTTCCTGCTAATGTGTTAGAGCAAGGCCAGATGGATGATGTAGCAGAGCTTGGAATCATTCCTGAAAAGAAACATCTCAGGCAAGGCAGTGAAACCTGACCTGAGCGACCACACAACTATGAACCAGTGAATACTGAGCACTTGGGGGAATGTCCCCATTAGCCCCAGTAACCGTGGACATGCAGGGTCAGCCAGAAGCACTGAGGGGAAGAGAGAGATCGCCCCTGCTACCTACTTTTGGAAAGCCCAGTCCCTGGGCATTCTGGCATGGTGTGCTTTGCCCAGCCGCCCTTTGCTCGTATCAGAGAACCTGCCATGATGCTCCAGTAATAGCTGCGCTGTGGTGTTGCTAATAGACTCCTCTCTGCACTTGCTGACGGAGCACAGAAGAGACACAGGGGGTCTATAAGCATCTCCTGCACAGTCCAGCACTCATGTGTGGTAGATTTGCCTTCTGGATTGCCTACTTGGAGCAGCACACTAGGTGCTTCCATGTGCACCTGCATTACAAGGGTCCCTGACTCTAAACTGGTGCCCAGCCCAATGGTAAGTAGCTTGACAACTCCCACCAAGCAGTCACCTCTATATGCCAGGGGAAGCAGAGCTCTCGTGCTTGTTGGGCTGATGCCACAGTATCAGACCTCCCCCGAGGAAGAAGCTTGCATGCTGTCAATGAAGTCACATAGTCCTTCTTGCTCAGCCCATGTTTCCAGCACCACTCAAGCCCAACAGCCCCTGGTTACAGTTTGAACTCAAGGCCACACTTTGCCAAGGCACACTGTCATTCCAACAGCAACCCTACTGTCTGGTGGGCTCGGTCTCCATCAGCATATCCTGTGGTGCTGAAATGTCTCCAGAACGTGACTCAGTAGTTCCAGCTGAGCAAGAGCAAGAGCACGCAGCCTGCTTTCCCTTCTGTGAAAAGGTGCAAACGAACATTATCCAACATGATTTGACAAGACACCTGTAAATCCCAGCCTCACCTTCTGGAGGCCTACACTTGGCCATCCATTTGAATAGCAGTGTCTGCTGCCACGGCAGCCTGCCATAGTCAGCAGGGCATTAAAAGGGCCAAATGTAGATGGGCTCAGATAGCCCTGCTGTCACTGCAAGTGGCTTCCCCCTCACTGGTGCTCTGCTCTCTAGCAACAATGCCATATGAGCCTTTCTGGTTAATTAGGTGTGCTGACACTCATGTGTCAAGTGAGAGCCCCCAGCTCCTGCCTGGGCAGCAGATGGAAGGAAGAGGAGACGCTGCCAAAGAAACAGGCTGCACTGCTGGGAGCAGCACCTTGGATCTCACATGTGCTAGGACACATCCCTGCTGGTCCTCTGGCTGCAAGCTGAAGGCAGGGAAAGGAAGCAGTGCAGTAATGATGTCCATAGCACAGTTCACCTGAGTGACCAACCAGTGCACGCACATTATGTAGGTGAGGCCACTTACCTCTTAGGGGAATCAGCCTCTCTCTGTTTCCAGCTTCTCCTTGTCTTGATTTTAGTAAAGGTATCAGAAGTAACTTTAATGTTCAAAACTGCTTTCCTGTGTAATCAGTGTGTTACAAACAGACACCATCGACTAATGGCCCCTGAATCACTGTGTGGGACATGCCAGGTGGAGGCTGGCTATGCACCCCACAGGCATTCACTGCTTAGGGCTATTTTTAAGCTGCAATTTAAGAAAGAATGTATTTTTTCCCTGCATTTATACCAATGCAGCCTAATTCCAATCTAGCTGTCACGCAGCGAGGAAGGAAGTAACACAAGCTGGCTCTTTTCTTTTGGAAATTGAAAAACCCCAATTCTTCAGATGCAGCCAAGAGACCAGTTAAACGTACAGGCTTTATTGTGACACACGTATCACTCCCCGCAGACACATACATCGACCCTTCTGTTACGGGTGTCACCCTCCTTTATGTGATTTGCCAGAGGCATGTGTCGATTTGTTATGATCCGATGGTGACAGTGCGCTTAGGCTCTCCCTGATCTGTCTCACGGGCTCGTTCTGGAAAATATAGCTCTTTGAAACCACGCATCTATAATCCAATGCTAGCTTTTGGGGGTTTTATACTGGCCCTCACCATTGAAGTATCTGAGTGCTTTCCATAGGAAATCAAGAGCAATGTCTCTTGAGGACTTCATGGGGTCTCTGGCACTTTCCCTTCTCAGGACTACAGCTCTCGCTGGGGTGGGAAATGCATGGGAGCACAGCTAGACCTGCTAGTTCAAGCTCTTCTGAAAATCCTACCCTCCAATGCTCTGCTCTCCCTGATGAGGAAAGGAGTCTGATATCACCTGATATCTAAACCTACCGAGCGTCTGGAACTTTTCGAAGACCTCTGAATTCCAGGGCCAAGTTTCAGCACCCCAAAAATGTCCCTGGAATGAGTTTTGCTCCAAATTTGGACGCCTCCTAGATGTTCCCAGTGTGCCAGGCGATATGTTGCTGAGATGCCACGCTGTTCCACATGGATAGCTCTACTGAGAGTTAATTAGCTTTACTGGAAGCAGTGTAGCTGCATTCATGCAGTGCTGTGACTGGACTAATTAACGCTGCCACTCAGCCATGTTAATTAGCCCACCTGCGGCACTGTGCTGAGGTGATTACACTGACTGGAACCGGAAGATGTGTAGAATACTATGGGCTCCAGAAATCTCCTGTGGACCTCAGGTCGGTGGTAGGGTTGGGACTGTGCCCTGGACTTGGGTACTCAGCAGTTGGTCTGTTTACTTATATCACTTCAGTAGACGCTCAAGAGCTACCCAGAAGAGGCAAAACAGAAGTGTCTGCACTTTGACATCCTCAGATATGAATTGTCATTCCCCACAGCTATTCAGACCTCTTCTGCTCAGACCTTGTCGTCACCAGCACTGGACTGTCTATTCTGTATTTCCAGAGTAGCAACAGCAGAATCAGAGGTGCCTGTAGCATACACACAGGACCTGATATTTTTAGAGCTGCTGATTCCCCACAGCCCCATGTGACATCAGACAGGAGTTGCCAGTGCCCAGCCCCTCTGAAAAATCAACCTGGTAGGCAAAGTGGTTTTAATTCAGTCTCCTCCCAAAGGCAGCCTGGCAGGACATGAAGGCACAGGATCCTCACTGAAGATGGTGAGCTCACACTGCTCAGGGATGGGGACTGTACTGCCAGCAGTGAGTGCTCAGAGCACCTTAGAGACCACGGCTCCTCTGCTCTGGGTCCCTCACGGCCACTGTGATCATCTGGTTCACTTGGACAATGGAGCAAAGATATAAACTCAAGGGAGCTAGCAAAAGGTTGTGCTCTGGAATACTTCCCAGTAGGGAAGAGAGATTCCATATTGGGAACCATCATTTTACCCAATGTATCTGAGCAGTCAGAAATTCAGGCACAAGCATAAGGAACAAGCAGAGACATCCTGACTGTGTTGCCCTGTCCCTCCAAGGCTTCTACTGCAATCTAAATGATGGGCAATGCACTTATATTTATTCCCCCAGCCTGGCTCACTTGTCCACCTCATTTGCTCATCTCTTAGAATGGCAGCTGTCATGTCATGTACAGCACCAAGCACAGTGGGACCCAACCTGGCTGCAGCTTTTAGGCACGAGTGCAACATAAATGTTCAACAAGAGCTGAAATACTGATATGGACAGCAGCACCCAATGTACAGACCTTGGATGCACACCCAAACTGTGTGAAATGAGGGTACGGGGGAGAAAGGGATACAAAGAATGAGAAGACATTTCATTCTAGATAGGGGACTAAAAATTGCATCCAGAAATAATTGATTGTCTCTGTGTAGCCTGAAGAAGGGGACATCGGGTAGATTTCCCCACAAAGCAAAGGAGACTTATGTCTCTGATTCAGTTGAGCAAATTTAAGGGAAATCATATGGGTATTTACAGTCTGAAGGCCCTCAGCAGCATGGTGTATAACCACCTGCCCTGCCCACTGGAAGCTGATCACATGCAGAATTCCTTTTGCTGCTTTCATTTTGAGGGTTAGCAGGAACCAGTGTGGTAGAAGGCAGGTGAGCCTTAGTGTGACCGGCATCTGAAAGGCCTCCTCAACACCTTAAAGGCACAGATAAGCTCATTCTTCTTCAATGGAGTATTTGTCCGTATTTAGTATGGGACCAAAACAATGCCCAGTGAAGTCAATGGAAAGGCTTCAGTTGACTTCAGTGGGCTTTGAACTAGACTTTGCAAGAGAAATGTCAGTCAAACCTAGCTTTCCCTGTACTGATCTGCTGAGGTTTCACTGCAAAGGCTGAAACCTGACTTTCATGTTTCCAGTCTAACTTAAATGTAAAGTTGTCACAAAGAGAGCCTGGCTCCAAAATGGTAATTTCACGTGAAAGGGTAGAACCCCAAGACTTCCAGCTACCCCACTGCTCTGACAATACATTACGTTCACTCAACAGGGTAGCCTCAGGGCACACTCGTGGCATTAACTTGGCCTTTCCCATCACCCTTCTAGTTTAAGCCAGCTCCTGGAATTTCTTCAATAGCTCTGTTTTACATGCACACAGTAACAGCACAGCTCTACCCACCTATCTATTCAAGTGCCTGCCACAGCTGCCTGCCACCTGCCCTCACCGGGCCATTAGGTGGGGCAGGGAAGGAAGAGAGCTTTCACAGCATTTTAAGAGAAAAGCTACAATTGCAGAACTACTTATATAACTTAGTCCAACAGAATTGCTTTTTGCCTTTAATCTGCTCAACAGTTTATCTTTGCTGTCATGATCAGTTGAGCTGTCTCTAAATCTTTATGGATTAGTGCTCTGCAGAAACATGTTAAAAGCTTAGCCTTGTTATTTTTGTCCAGAACAGGGAGAAACCAGGTTCAAGCATTCACACCGTCACTTGTGAGATGCAAAAAGCAACCAATACCGATTGAAATATTCAGGTTTTTTGCACCAAATGAACACTCCGGAAGATATTACTAGCAGCCAGTAAGAACATGGCAGAGATTTTACATAAAAGAGGCCTGCAGAGCCTCAGAAATACACACAATAATTTTAAGCAGTAAAAATTAAATTTAATCTGGTATTCAAAAACGATCCGAATCACCAAGCAACCTTGGTAAAAAAGCCTAACGATGGGTGTTACAGTAAATTACTACATTTGCATTGTTAAATGCTGCCAGAAGCAAGCTTCCCATCACTAATATATAGCAGGCCCTGGTAACTTAACATATATTTAAAAAAATAATCCCCACAACTAAGGTATACTGATCACAGAGATGTATGAAGTTAACAATAAGTGGCCATTCTTAATACATTTATAACCATCTTCAGAAAAGTGAAAGCAGCTGTTCTATTATAATGTGGCAGTATGAATGAGCCATTCTGGACCAGATCTCTAAAATGGGAAGATCTTTCCAAACCATTCTTGTAAACCAATCAGCAAGCTTGACAGAATTTTCTGTAGTTCAACTGATTTGCAGATGCCTTTGTGAAACGGGGTAAAGAGGTTGTGTTCTTGAACCCAGAGCAAAAAATCTTCCTTCTGGCCAAATACCATTCTAGGGAAACACTATTCTGCAATCAATCTCTGTGACAGCTGTATGAGTTTACAACTTCAGCATTGCAACTGAGGCCACTAGAAACTTTCATGTTTTGCACACACACACACAAACCCTATGGGAGTCAACAAAAAGAAGGGTCCCATGTGGTTTGGGGAAAAGAAGAAAACTTAATAAGAAGATCCAGAAAGCACAAAGGAACGCCAGTGATCTTAACCCAGACTTATCAATAAGTGGTTTTATTTTCTAATTCCAATGAATTGCCATCAAGTAGTAAATTACCTTCCTCTTGGCAGCTAAAGGAGCCCTGTTCCAGAGCCTCAGCATCCTAGCTCCGCTGGTCTAGTTAGTGCTCAAGTGTTATTTAAACAAAACATATTTTAACTGAATCTGACTATATATGGAATTCACTGACGAGTACAAGTTGGATCTCCTTCAATAGAAAAAATAACCTCATAGATATAAAGACAAGCTGTATGCACACTCAAATGCCAAACATACTACAACAGGCTCTTGGTAGCAAAGGTTAGATAGCCAGTATGCCCCACCATTTCCCGGAGTGGCACACCACTTTTAAACTGTATGGTTCCTTGCTGCTGACTACCACACAGGACACCTTGGTTTGCTTGGTTGCTGCTGTCAAATCCTGGGTTGGAATTATCCTCTGCTGCTTTTCCAAGGTCAGGGATTTGCAAGCTAATTGTCCTTACGTTGTATACTCGGAGGAGAATTTCCAAAGTGTTAATCTCAGTGAAACCATGTTCTTCCAAAGCCAGGCATGTTCTTTGAACTTGTTCGATGCAAGGGGAGAAGGAACAGAAGCGTCCGCCTATAAAACAAGACAGGTAGCAAGGGAGGGAGTACAACTGGATTATTCTTAGTCGCAGTGATATAGCATTACTCTCTATATACGGTATGTGCCTAGTGAAAATATTTTTAAAGAAAATACTTAAGAGCTAAAATCTCCAAGGAAATAACTTTGTGGGTTAAAAATGTCAACATAAACATGCTGGTAATTTTACAAGAGGTTTCAGTCGTTTCAAAAGTGCAGCTGTAATGACAAATTCATTCATCTTTGCTCATAATATAGTGCATGATGTACCTACAGAGATTAACACCACCTAATTTCCTTGGAATCAATACAGACAACCCTGGACTGATGTGTGAACCTGATGTTGGCACTTGCACAAAACTGAAAGTTTCCAAGCTCTGCTCCCTCTCGGAGTTGCTTTCATTCTAATAAAAGCACGTTCGTGCACGCTTGGACAGAGGTGACTGTGTTTACTTGAGAGCGATGGTATGTGCACGCAGAACACAGTAATCTCCAGCCCATAGATGGACTGTTATTAAGCTTTTCCCCTTCCAGTCAAGCAGCTTGCATGTCTCCAGAGCACTAGATTCACAGCTGAACGAAAAACTTCTGGGAGTTTATTGATGATTTGGTTGGGCAGTTTTTTGTGACGTATGCATCAAAACCTTTGCACTACAAGAGCAGACTTTATAACAGGATACCTTCTCTTTCCAGGGCAGGTGTCCTCAGATTTTTATTTTTAAACGCGGAGTACCGGCACCTCCCCCACAACTGTGCTACAATGTCACCTTAAGAGCTGAGAATAAAACGATTCAGATTTATTCTTAAAAGCCAAATCAGATCAAGGAATTATAAGGATACTGTCTGCCATAAATCTGGGTCATGCAGTTTCACCAATGATGTAATGTCCCACAATCCAGTTGCCCTTCCTGAAAACCTTTTGTACTGGGGGAAGGGAGCATAGGGAGAATATAGCTTCAGCAACTTATTCGTATTTTTAGATGGAAATGTTTGCTGATCTGCTGTGCATTCCAGCTCAGCCTTCTTGTATATCAGGTCTACTAATCTAGTTAAACCTTCTAAAAGTAGCTATATAAAATGCTAAAGAAACTAGGTGTCCGACGGCAAAACATCCGGCTAAAAAGAGGCTAAATTGGGACTACGTAGGGACTGTTTTTCTATCAAATATCCATTTTTTTTTCGAAGCCACAGATCTGAAAAAAGAAAGTGTCAGGTTTGAAAGCAGAGACTGCTGCAGTGCTCCAGTTACCGTGCAGCAGTGATGTCCTGGGTGCTGATGAGGGAAAGAACACTTTTTCCTGAGTAACATCATCCGGTTGTAAGTGACATTTATATTTGTTTTAATTTTAGTCTTGGAATAAAGCTGCCACTGCCAAGGGCTCCCATTGCACATCTTCAGAACACACAGGCTTTTGTTGAGCAATTCCTTGAAGTCACAACAAAAAAAAAAAAATGCATATCAAATAAGCACCTGCAAAAGTGACTGGTATGCTGTGTGATCCCCTAAGCTGGCCAACTGCAATTTATGAGTAGGTGCTCATCCACACAGCTCTCACCAATTAAATCGGATGCTGTACAGTATGAAAACCTACATAACAGGGGATACCAATGAGAGTTCAAAGTTGACAGAGGATTTATTTTTGGCCAAATAATGCAGATCCCTGCAATCACTATAGATGCATAGTAAGGAATCTGGAAGGAGAATCTGTCACCTAATTAGAAAGTGGGATAATTTTACATTTATACTGTAAAGAGAAATGTATTCTCATTGTGCAGGAAAGTGAACAAATGGCTAACTTGGGTAAATGTCATTCTACAATAAACTCTTTGTTTCAGAGAAAGAAGTAGCAGAGAGATCAGAGCTTTACTATTTCTTCATTCAGGCTTTCCTTTTTTGGTGTTTCAGCCTGAAATATTATAAACTACAAAACATAAACAGCATTATGTTTGTAGTAAGTAGATTCTGCTGATTTATTCAAACTCCAGAGAGTTCAGGCTGTATTTAGACTTAAATCTGCATGCTTTAGGTTTCCAGTCCAAAAGCAGAAAGCCTGTACCCAGCTGTCGCAAGGCAGGCTGGGGGGCCGCCTGCCTACAGCTCTAGCCAAGCCTTTCATTGAAGCCACTGCAACATTCATTTTGTTTCAGGGTGGTCAGCTGACCACCACACATCAACACCAAATTTGGTGATGATTTATCAAACACTGACTGCCTCTGCACTAAACTGTTTAGAGAAGCAAGACTGTAGAAACTGGGTGTTCAAACTTATCTGGCAGAGAAGGAAGAAGAGGTTTGCAATAACTAAGATGATGCGCAGAGAGGAACAGCAAAGCAAGAGGCATGCTACCTGCTCAACTACTGGAAGGTGTGCAGATAATACAGGGAAGGGGGCAGGAGAGGAGGAACCTGTATCACATCCAGCAGACACAGCAAAGTAGTCCTGCTGATTTCAGCATTTGCTCCTTTTTTCTCATTCTTCCCTCCATGAATTCACTGGAAGGCATGCTGAGACGCACACCTAAAAGAAGCCTAAGTGCAAAAAAACCCCACCAGCACCAACAGCAGCTTTCTTTAAGACTTCTGCCAGCTGGGAGATGGGTCCCATCTGCTTTCCTGTACACACCATCAGGCAGGAAGGATTTGGCTTGAATGACATGGGACTTGTTAGTAGAAATCCAGTGGATATTAGTAAAGGGCTGGAAGGGATCCAGGCTACAATTCTGACAGCAAATAAAAGATTTAGGGGGGGAAGTAAAGTTGTGGTGCAAGACAGCAGTGGGTTGGTTGAAAACACTAAAACTGAGAAAATGTGATGGTGGTAGTATTTCTGGAGTAGGGAAAACATTGGGGCTGGAGAAACAGAACCAGGCTTCTGAAAAAGTGGCTCATGCTGAAGAAAAAGGGTATGACGGATAGGAGAGAGTCCCAGGGTACTGAGGCTTCTCTCAACACATCAGATTATGGAAGCCGTGGAAATGGAGCATTTTGAGCTCTTTCTACAGTGCAATCCCTGGCACATTACAATCATTGCACACATCTAAACCTAGTTTCCAGCATTCACAATTCTCAGATTCTCTTAAAAGTACTCTTGTACTTTGGATGTTGAGAGGCTTTTAGGCTGTAAGAGCCTGTGTTGCCTAAGAAATCTGCGCAGCTTTGTCCTGCCACACTGAGGATTCCCTGGTGAATACAGAAGAAGAGACATTTCTCCGTTTCTGAATAAGAAAGGGGTGGCCAGGACCTAAGGACAGGAAGACCAACTGAACTGAAACTTCTTAGTACAAACAGAGTTTGGGTCCTTTGAGTGCTTTCCCTTTGGAAAAGCTATTGCTACTAAATTTGTTTAATGAGATCTACATGTCATCATAAATTGATATAGTAATTAACCAAGATTAATCCTGTGCACATCGGGAAGCTGTATGAGCTTTTTGATCTGTAGAGCTGTCTAAAACGTGTGTTTATTCATGTATAATGCATCTGACAAGTACTGCAGTTGAGGGGAACAGAATAATGAGTCTGTATGAAAGCCTTTTTTTTTTTTTTTTTTAAAGAATAAAAAAAATCATCCTTCACTTTACAGACAGGGAATGTGTTTGAAACCTTTAATAGGGAAGTTAAATCTCACCAATTATGCAGGCTGGGAATGAACCCATAGAGCAGTGGCAGCCATTGTGATAAGTGGTGGATCAAGAGTTTATAGAAATGAAAGCACAACTGAGATAGGAAAGATTAAGGAGAAGGGGGGAGGGGATGATAACGCTCACACCTATATGGCGCTTTACATTTTCAAATTATTGTACAGACATTAATGAATGACTAGGGGACACACCCTGCCAACCCTGCTAAAGTCTGTTCCCGGCCATAGCTTGCAGGTGCCTCTGTTGACTCTAAAAGCAATTCCAGACTGACACTTGTCTAAACCAGGAAAGAATGGGGCCCGCCTGTCTGTGCGATGAGTAACATTTTGAAATCAAGACAATTTCTGCTTAGCTAAACACTGAGCAGGGTCTTCTAGATTCGCCTCCCACTGAACCCCCCCCCCAAAGAGACAAAACAAAATAGGCAATGCTTTCTACTGCAAGGGAGTTCTCATGTATGCTGATGATTAATGCACAAGCAAGGGATACTCTCTCTTTTTCAGGTTGCAGCATACATCTATGTGCTCGGCCACTCTTTTGCCATTAAAGGGTTCTGAACATGCAAAACCAATGTGGAGAGAGCCCCAAACTACATGTGAAGGAGCCCATTTCTCTGAATTTAGGAAGTGATTCTACGGCAGAGAAATGTGTTTCTTTAAAGGAATGAACACCGTGCAGTGTTTTGGGACTTCAGCAGTGTCACAAGAGGAGCATTAAATTACAAGGATCCCAGAAAAAATAGGCACTAATAATTTGTGGAAGCAAGGCAGGAGTGTCACTGAAAAGCATCATGACGGCATTTACTCTGTGCTAGTAGGACACTAAAAATATTGCGTCTCTAATGGGGGACAGAATGTCCTTTAAGTGAGCGTGTACGTGGGCGATCTGATGCAGCTTCCCTGACAAGTGAAATTAGAGGATTCAGCTGTTGGAGGAAATTAAAGGATGTCTCTTGATTCAGAAAGTAAAATATTCCCTGAACCTTTTGCCAGATTGTTAACAGGAGTTTGTGTGCAATTCGCTGCAGAAGCAACCTTTGCGCTTGCCTGCGTGGGTGCATCCCCCAGACAGAGCAGACTTGCTTGCTGCTGATGTGCCTCTGTAAGCCGGGCTGACCTGAGTGGGCTACAGGGAGGCTGGAACAAGGCCATTCTTAAAATTAACTGGCTTTTTTAACTCTTTAAAGAGCGGTCTGGGGGATTTCAGGGCTTCTCCACTACCGGTCCTGTCTGTAGGAAGGGCACCCACCTGCTTGTGTCAGCCATTTCTACAGAGGTAGGGACATTTTAAGAAACGTTCACAGGAGATGGCTGTGCTATGGAACAGCTGCGTGCCTAGGACTGTGCAACTCCCACCTACCGGGCAGCTGCATGTGCAGTGTCCTGAATTTTAGCCCTTGTACAGGGATCGATGTTGTAGCAGTGTTGGTCCAAAAAAGTACACAACGCTCTCGGGTTAGAGGTGATATCTTTATTAGACCAACTAAATAGTAGCAAAATACTTCCTTTCTTTGCAAGCTTTCGGGCACTTATAACCTTCTTCAGGCTGAGGAGAATTCAAAGATTGTAAAAGTCCTCCTAGGTAGAAAAGAAACGTCATTACTAACTAAGAAAGAAAGATTTTTCACCTCCCTGTCTGCCTCTGACATGGACACCTCCAGGGAAGAAGGCAGCCTCATCCGCCCATCACAGAGCAACCCTCGCACAAAAGGACTCCGAGATCCCCAGGGGAATATTTCCACCCTCTATCTCCCCTCTGCAAAATGGAGTTTCTTTTCTACCCGGGAGGATTTTTACAATCGTTGAATTCTCCTGTCTGAAGAAGCGTGTATGTGTCCAAAAGCCTGGAAAGAAAGGGATTTTTTTGCTATTATTTAGTTGGTCTAATAAAAGATACCGCCTCTGACCCAAGAGCTTTGTGTAGCCCTTGCACAGTGCTTTCTAACTGCTAATTGTTGCAATTAGTGTTGCAAATTGTTCATTATTGCAACACCCCTGTTATCTGTGTATTTCATGCCGGGAGTGCTGAAGCAAGATGATGATGCGACTTGACCGAGGGTGCAGGGAAAGTCTGTCACAGCTGGCAACTGTAGGGAGGAGTCCTTATGCTAAACCCACTGGACCAGAACTCAGCAACTTCTAAAGAGACTAGATGCAGCCCATGAATTGGTGGGGCACCTGGGGGAAAAAGTAGCGCTGGTCCACCCCGCTACCCTTCCCCATGGAAGATGCTGCTGCATGGCTGGTAGCCGGGGGATTGAAGCATGCTGTGGGACATTCTCTAGACATCTGTCATGGGATAAAACTTTTCCATAGAACAAATGTACATGGAGATGAAAGAGCATCACAAGGGCTTTGACTCTGGCTTGTGCAGGAGTCCTTAGGTCTTAACCTCTCTGTGCCCTACTTCCACACTGGTGAGATGGAGGTACCAGCACTCCCCCATCTCTGAGACTGTGTCCTTACAATAGCTCTGAAGACTCGGACAGGCCCAGATGCCATGCTGAGAGGGCCATATCCCTGTGAAAGCATCTGTGTGAGCCTGCAAAGACACATTAGCTACCTGGAGTTGGTTGTTTACATACAGGTCCTGTCTACTCCCATGGGGCTGCCCACGTGAGGAGCGGCTGAATCCTAGGTAGCCACCCGGGACGGGGTTTGCAGCAGCTCTCGCACACGTTAGCACCAGCCTTGATGTCACCAGCTTCTCCTCACTGCAGTTGCTCCGGGGCCCCTTCCTACCAACCTCTCGCACAAACAGACGAGCTTGGTGGCATGGTTTCCACTCTTCCTAAAGCCCGATCTCTGTGGTTGCGGGGGCGGGGTCCACAAATAATCTCTTCAGGTGAAAAAATAAGGGCAATGAAGCTTTTACATGGAAACAGCATGTACTGAAGGTTATTTCTTTTAAGTGAAAGCCGAAGTTAACCCCAAGTGGATAATTCCTTCCCTACCTCACAGGGCTCTTGAGAAGATTATGTATTATTTATTCTCTCACATAGTGCCTACAGTAAATGAACCTAGCAGGTTACGACTACAGTAGGATGCCCTAAATGGTTGTATTGGGGGTGGCAGGAAGGAGCAAGTTCTGCTTTAAAACCTACCATGAATCAACCAAAGAACAGAGGTCCTAGGACGGTAAATATGACTCGTGTGGTAAAGGACTATGTACTGGGGCTAAACAAGGATGAAGAAACAAACCTCAGAGCAGGCATCAGCAACATTTTCTGGTGGTGGGTTGGAATGACCCAGCTGGGGTTGAAGGGTAGGTAGGACCTGGCCACTGCTTCTCTGTGCTGCCCAGACGTGGCATGGCATGGGCAAAGGACCCTGCAGTCTAACTGCAGTGGCACAGTGTGGTGCTACCAAAGACCCCCTGCTACTGACACCTTTGGTCCGTGAACCAGATCCAATGGACCTGTGGACTGATTCAGCCCATGGGCCATAGGTTACCAATCCCTGCCTTAGATGGAGACGTTCAGAGGCGCTTTCCACTTCGTGGACCCAAGTGCCTGCCCCAGTCAAGTAATAAAAGCTACCGTCATCTGTTTTTGGTTGATATCCTAAAGGTTTAAATGTGCACGAATCTCAATTATTGGGTGTAGAGCACTCAAAATGGGGCAAGAAATGGAATAAAAGGATAAAAACAACAAGGAAAAAACCCCAAAGATGAGGGATTGTTTTTATAACTGTGTTACTCAGACTGTTGATCTAAGTAAGCACCAAGGATTGATTTATAATGCAGGAGGTTTGGGCAAAATCCAGGCAAAGCATAGCTATGCTTTACCCAGGTCTCTATATGAACATTTTAAATCCTGCTTGAGCAGAGTAAAACAAGCTTGCTTCAGCTTAGTTTTCCAGAGCCTTGGAGGGGTGGGTGTTTTTATAACTGTGTTACTCAGACTGTTGATCTAAGTAAGCACCAAGGATTGATTTATAATGCAGGAGGTTTGGGCAAAATCCAGGCAAAGCATAGCTATGCTTTACCCAGGTCTCTATATGAACATTTTAAATCCTGCTTGAGCAGAGTAAAACAAGCTTGCTTCAGCTTAGTTTTCCAGAGCCTTGGAGGGGTGGGGAAATATTTGGGGGGGGGGGCGGTGGGGGGGGGGGGGGGGGAAGGATTAATATTAGAAATATATGACCAAAGCTCAATGATATTCAGCTGCAACGTTTCTAGGAAAGGTAAAAACTAGAAGCCATAAAAGTTGAAGTTATCTTTCCTAATTCACAGAGCTAAAGTAAGAGATTTCTAGTTTCATTTTTCATTTAGTCTGAATGGGTCAACAAGATGTTTGCCAAAAATCAAGGTCAGGCTCTGGGAACAGCAGCCACTACTACAGAAAACACATTAATCAGCAGATGCTGCAAAGGAGGAGAAAAAAGGTGCAGATTTGGAAGCAGAAGCAAGATCTGCAGTGCAGCAATGCCAAACCAGACAGATATTACAAGACAGCATTTTTGCTGAAAGAATGACAAGTGAAATCAGCAGACAAGGATGTAGCTGAGGTGCAGAAGAACAAGCCTGAACGTACACAGAGCACATCATTAACAATGAATAAGCATCCTCCAGGCACAAACTCACCATGCCATTTTATTCTCTTAGCTCTTTCAGTATAGCAATGCTTTAAATGGAAGGTCATACTAATCTGAGGCAGAACATGAGTGATAAATGTATTCTGTAAAGAGGACCATTAACCTTCAGCCTATTAAAATAAAGAATTACAGGTACTCAAAGCTTGGGACTGAATAAGAGGAAAAATACTGGTCTCGGTAAGGATTTGTTACATGCGTACTTTAAAAATTATCCCTTGTGTACCATCTCTGCTAACAGTTTTATTGTGAATATTGGTGTTTTTAAGGAGGAGACTCAAAGATGGCAAACACTAAGTCTGCTCAGTGTGAAGGTCTTTTAAAATATTTTTTCTTCTGACTTTAAGAAATGAGTGATTTTGCAGTACAACAGCACTGTTGTGACTTTTTTATCACGCACTTAATTAGAACAGAAGCTGCTGGCAGAAGAACTCAAGTGTAATCCCACTCATGTTTGGGGACTCATGTTCCGGATGCTGCTTTACTATTACACTAATTGCTGACAGTGTTGGCACTTTTTAGCCTTCCCCTAAAATGAGCTGATTTTACAACACTGAAAAGAACCACAAGGTTCTGGATCAAGTTACCTTGTGCACGCATGTGTATGTAGACCTATGTTGTTGCCATCCATCACTGTAGTGAGTTATACTGCACCCACAAAAGGAAGATTTTTACCATTAGGAACTGGGAACACTGCTCCCTAATACAGAATAAATTGGCCTTTTGCACAGCAAGCTATTGAAAACCCCAAAGATGAATCGTAGACCATTGCTGGCTGTCAGCTTCTGTAGTTGCTTTACAACATCCTTATAAGAGAGGACCTGCAATTATACCTCTTCATCGATAGTCTTTAAGCAACAACGTGTGACTTTTTTCTACTTTCATTGGGTAAGCAGATGTTCTATCACAGTGCGCATTAGGATATAAACCCAGATCCGTATTAGTAATCGGTTTTCCATGATTTCAACCATCCAAGCATTCTCAACCTGGAAACTCTCCTGCAGGTCTATTCAGTATTCCCAACATGTACTGGTTAAATAATTCAAATGGTACTGCGCAATGCGGTGCCTTCATCTGAACTGAGACAGAAGTCAGCTGAGTGTTATGCTTGCTAGATCAGATAATTTAAGCATGGAGAGGATATCACACAGTGCAAGGGGAATTAGTTCCTTTCCCAGCAGACATCAAGATGCAGCCATAAATGTGGCCACAGCCCTCAAAAGCACAAGATGTTTAGCATTGTGTTAATTAAATAAGAAAAAAAATGCATGTGCTGCTTCTGGGGAGTTTTACTACCTTTACACTGTCAGCTGAGAGACCTCAACACCTAGCCATATGTTCAACACCTAGATCATTAAGTACTTGCTCAAGTTTCTTTCCTTTAACAGGCTGTAAGCATGAACTTAACATTTGGCACGTGTCTTTGTGCTTTAACGAATAAAATACAGCTTTGTCGTAGGCTTAATGTTAAATTCCGTGCTGCTGCTCTGTAGGATCAGACACTTGATTAGGAAGATGCATTTCAAGGGTAAAACTAGAGCAGCTTCATGCTGGCCATCACAGCAGAACATCACAACAGGCTGGAAGGGTCTTTCAATACAAGCCCTAACGTATGAATTGAAGCTGATATGGGTAAAGAGGCAAAACATCCGTGTGGACACATTCCAGTAAAAAGACTAATTTTCTTCACTTAAGCCATTGTTGCTTGGGAAAGGATTCAATTAAAACTGAAAAAATGTATTCCAATCTAGAATAAGAGAGTTCACACAGGTTATGACTATCAACAATTTGAAATGGACAGGAGCGAGACGGGGATAAGCAACTGTTTTTAAGTAAAAACATATTTTCTGTGGAGCTATTTTACACACGGTGTCCTACTGAATCTCTCCTACTTGGAAGCTGCAATGATTAATGAGAAGCATTTCTTAAGATGTATTACTCATATATTTTTCCTGAAATGTCAGGGAAGATTTGCTTTCAGCAGTCATATGGATAGTTCCTGGATCTGACAGAATATACTAGACAGAAGTTCTAAGATTTTTTATACGCTGCCCAAACCAAATGCAGCAGCTATCACAAAGACCTCTGGGGGAAAGTTGTTCTTTCTCCTTTCAAGTCCCCATCTGTAGACTCTTTTTTTGAAGTTTTCTAGTCATTCGAAACAATTTCAGACTTAATATTTGAGAATACAGATCACACAGTGGAAAGGGGAGCAATCTCAATACTGACTCAGCAGAAGCGACTGTATACACAAACATGCACACATTATTACACAAGTACAAATACAGCTATGTGCAGAAGAAAGAAGTTACCTTCAACTTTCAATGCTGATTTTGCGTGTCCTATAGCCTCCCATGGAGATGGAATGTCTAGGAACACAGCATCTGCCACGTTGGAGACCCCGAACCCATTTTTACAGACATCCTGGTTTTTCACAGTAACGAGGTGCTCTACTTTATGTTCCCGGAACTCCTCCACGGCTTTCTCTGCCCGCTGTTGGTGGAACTCCACTGTGTACAGATGCCCAGTTGGAGCCACTGTCCTGATGATAGCATGAGAAAGGGAACCGCTTCCAGTACCTACAAAAGCAACACAGAGGTTGAAACATTTCTAGACAGGAAGTTCGAAGCACCTTCACGAGAAACCAATGTTAACCTCACTGCTCAGATTATTTTAGAATTACAGTGAATAGAAAACACCTATACATTTGTAACAGGAAGATGGACTAGACAGAAGATCTCCAACTCTGTTCTCTGACCGCTGATCAAACCCCTTGTGAGAGTGGAACTGCCCCTTTTGGGGAACCTTGAACCGTGAACATTTCCTCCTTTTCTTCTCTTGTTGAATGTTTACAGCAGGTGATTTCCTCATGAGGCACAGACTGATAAGTCAACATTTGAGCTCCAAAATAAAACAAGATTTTATGGAAAGTGCATAGCTGTAAAATGAGATAGGAACCATAAACATAAGTGGAGAAATAAAACAAACTAGGAATTATTACAAGAATGTTAGTCACAGATTCTGCCTGCAATGCTAGACTTCACTGAAGGAAAAAGAGTAAAGAAGAAATACTTATACGTAACACATCTCTCAAGACCATTTCCTTCATTAAAACAAAGGTAAGACTGTGTTGAGAGGCATCTGAAAGCTCTATTTATCCCGACAAAGTCCTCTGGCACAGAGAGACTGCCACTGATTTGGGCCAGGTTTTATATTGTTCAGCATTATGGATGTTCAGGCTGCTATGGGCCAAATCCATATAAGAGCTGAGTTAAGGGTGCTCAGCTCCGTGCAATATAGTGAACTACAGGACCCAGACTCAGCAAGTTTCTAAGGGGTGCACTGAACTCTAAGCGTGAGTAGACTCAACCAAGTCAAAGAGAACCACTCATGTGGTTGAAATTCAGTTTATACTTCAGGGCTGAGCTGAATTTGGCCCAAGTCACATGATTTTTTTGTCTTGCTAATTTAGGGAAGGGGATTGAAACAGACCTGTGATTAACCAACAGGACCGCTATTAAAAAGCCTCCTTAATTAGTTAACATTGTAGATTTCCCAACAACAACAAAAAAAAAGGCTGAAACCCCCAAGCTACTTTAATTGGACAACAACACAACATTTCATAGTAGTTTGGGGTCAGAAGGGACCTGAACAGATCATCTACCGACTCGCGTCTCCCCCCCCCCCCCCCCGCCACTGGCAGGAGCACACGCTGGGATCACATGACCCCAGACCGGTGTTTGTCCAACCTCTTTTTGAATTTACCCAAGGTAGGAGCGAGGACCACTTCCCTAGGAAGTTGGTTCCAGATCCTAGCCACCCTAGCAGTGAAGTAGTGCCTCCTAATCTCTAACCTGAACCTATTCTCCAGCAGCTTCTGGTCATAGTTCCTTGTCACTCCAGGTGCTGCTGCGGAGAATAGGGCTCTTCCTATTTGCTGCTGATCTCCCCTAAGGAGTTTGTAGGCAGCCACCAAATCCCCCCTCAACCCCTGCTTGCTGAGGCTGAACAGGTTCAGGTCCCTCAGCCTCTCCTCATAGGGCCTGCCCTGTTGCCCTCCAACCAAGCGGGTGGCCCTCCTCTGAACCCTCTCAAGGCCGGCCACATCCTTCTTAAAGTGCGGTGCCCAGAACTGGATGCAGTACTCCAATTGTGGCCTGACCAATGTCGCATAGAGGGGGAGTATCACCTCTCTGGACCAGCTTGAGATGCATCTTTGGATACATGACAAGGTGCGGTTGGCTTTGCTGGCTGCGGTCTGGCATTGGTGGCTCATCCATCTTGGAGTCAATAATGACTCCAAGATCCCTTTCCACCTCTGTGCTCACAAGGGGGGGAACTCCCCAGCCTGTATGTATGCTGTGGATTCCTCCTCCCCAGGTGCAGCACCCTACATTTGTCTACGTTGAACCCCATCCTCTTACCATCCACACACTTCTGAAGTCTGTCTAAATCTAATTGCAGCCTCTCTCTCCCTTTGGGCGTGCCTACCTCTCCCCACATCTTGGTGTCATCAGCAAACTTGGACAACGTGTTTTCCACCCCCTTGGCCAAGTTGCTGATGAAGATGTTGAACAGTGTGGGACCAGAACCGAGCCCTGAGGACCCCACTATTCACATCCCGCCAGGTCGAGTACGACCAGTTCACCACCACTCTCTGGGTGCGCCCCATCAGCCAATTTTTGATCCATCCAACTGAGTAGGCATCAATGCCACAGTCACTCAATTTATTAATGAGAATGGGGTGAGACAGTGTCAAAGGCCTTAAAGTTCAGAAAGACTACGTCCACGGCTACACCACCATCCAGGGATGTAGTTACCTGGTCATAAAAAGCCATCAGGTTGGTCTGGCAGGACCTGCCTTTGATGAACCCATGCTGATTTCCCCTGGGCACGATCTCCCGTGCTGGCCCCTCACAGAAGTGATCCTTGATAATTATTTCAAGGATTTTCCCCAAGACCTATGTGAGGCTTAAGGGCCTATAGTTTCCTGGGGACCACATTAGCTACTTTCCAATCTCCGGGCACTTGGCCCGTGGACCATGATCGCTTGTACAGCCGGGCCAAGGGCACAGCAATGACCCCCGCCAGCTCTCTCAACACCCGTGGGTGGAGGGCATCAGGGCCCACAGATTGAAAAACATCCAGCCCTTCTAGAAGATCCCCAACTACCTTCTGTCTGTAGTTCAGGAACTAGAATGCATTTTCCCCTTCAGAAACAAAACAAAAAAATCATATCCAGCTACCATGACTGCAAGGTCTACATTTCAGCCTGAAGTTAAGTTCTTACAGTTGCCTTATATACCCATGATGCATAACAGCAAAAGACAGCTCCTAAACTACAGGAGCAGTACTAATACCCAGAAGCAAAGTGGGAAAGGAATTAATCATTGAGAGCCTGTTTGGCCTGGCTGCCCATTGCATGGGGGTTCACTGGCTGATCGACAGTTCTCCCTCCCTGGACAGACAGGAATACGGTTATGGCAATGCACACAAGCTGCGACTGGTTTAGAAGGCAAGGTGTTTCTACCACAAACAATCTGGGGCCACATTCTCCACCACAGTAACAACTCCACTTGACGACCAAAGCCGAGTCCCTGCTTATGCCAATGACAACTCTAACCCCAGGCTTCTGCAAGGCAACATGGAGCGTGCCTATCTCTCTCCTGCAGCACACCCGAGAAGTATGCCTCCGCTCACCCACTTCTACGCTGCACATGCCAAACTTGGAAATGAGGCAGCATATTGCAGAGGGCACTCTCTCTGTGCTGCTCTCCAGATCCCTGCCTCCAATTCACTTGGAAGCACAAGTGAGGGGTGTTTCTCAGGGAGTTTCACCACCTCGTTTCTGGGTTTGGTGCATGTGGGTGGGAGCTGGGGACATGCTGTTTGACAGTGCTCAGGATCTCTGTGGAAGCAGTGAAGAAAGGCCCACAAGGTCCCACTAACAGGCTTCCAACCCAGCTATGCATATCCCAGGAGTATGCAGAAAACTTCGAGGGTACACGAGAGGAAAAAATGGGAAAGCAGAAGAAAGGTGAGGGAAACTCTACACAGACAAAAAGGAAATAAAAAATAAAGAAAGACAAAGAACAACCCAGCAGTATTTCTTAGGCTGGATCAGCAGTGACCGAACCATTTGGAGTAGCACTGAGCACTCTTCTTTCCAGTGCTCTAGCAATGGCAATAAAGCAGAGAGGCAGGACTGGACAATGCCCAGGACTTGGATACTGACCCAAGCCACTCCCAAGGGAAGGGAAAACATTTGGTATCTTAAGTGCTTTTCTGCAGACATTTATTCAAAGGAAAATTAGACATGTTCACATCAGCATTAAAAATAGACAAGTCCCCACAAACAAACAGGGAAAAGCAATCACTGTGTGCAAACCAGAAGCAGCATGTGGGGACTGCATCTCTAAGTGCTGGACGTACACATGAGAATTCCCATCACTTCACATGGGTTCTGGTCCCCCAGTAGCCACGAGGCCTTGTAATTCACTGACATAGGAACTCACTCACAACAGAGTAATACTGTCTATTGGCTGATTTTTATGACAGTGAGCTGGGTGCCCCTGGGATGCCTAACTGACCGAAATGCTGTTCTAATGTCTCGCAGCAGAAGGCAAGATTGCATGACGGAGAACTTCTGCAGCCCCAGGGAATTTCATTATTTTACCTTTCTAACAGATAATGTTGCACACTCTGGATCTTTCCCCATTTATCTACAGGCACAAACAGAAGGCCTATCAGCACAGCTGGGACGCACACAGAAGAGGGAGGCAGCTTGCATGTACGTATCTAATTTCCTTGTTCATATTCTTTTACATTTTTAATCATCTTCCTTTTAAATCTGTTCTTAAAAACACCATAGGAGATATCATTTTTCTCCCTTCTAGGAAACCCCATTAAGATGTTTCTTTGGCTCATTTCCTAGCACTTTACTTTATCCACAAATGCTCCAAGCCAAGTCCAAACCAAAAACAGGATGTTGGGTTTAAAGGGAGGCACTTGTAGGCGTATATTATAAACTGAGCATTTTATTATGGGAGTTTACCAGGAGCCATTTGTCATTGCTTCACTAGTATGAACAGAAGAACCATACGTGAAACTATATCAAATTCTGCTATTCTAACTGCATTAATGCTTCCAGGTGAGGCATCTTGTGAGATCTTTTATTGGACCAGCAATATCACTGGGAGAGCTGCTGGGCAGACTTTTGGACACGAGGGGCCATTCCGCACATCTGAAGGAACACAGGCTGAACTAAGTATCAGAGAAAAGACTCCAGGAAAATGCAAACAGTCTGCTTGGTGGGATGAAGGCTGTGAGCTAGCAGTGCCTGTAAACAGGAGCTGTTAGAAGACAAAAGAAGTGCAGTTAATAAATAGGCCATCTAGAGAGTGGCAGGGCCAGACTATTCAAGATGGGGTATTTACTCAGAGGCAGCTGTTCCTACAGATATTGTTTCCTGTTGTAAGAACAAATACTTGCAGGCCATGCTACCTCATACATTAACCTTTCTGAAGAAACTAAAGACAATCTTGCGAAGCACCAACAGACCTCAGCTCTCACAGACCAAGAATTCAGAGCAATCAACACCGTGGCCCAGCATGGTAAATGGGCACCTAGCAAATTAATTGTTCTTCTCTACTTGCACAGCAATTTGTTCAGCTTGAATCTATTCTAGGGGATGACCAAGCACAACCACTGCTACCTGATCCGCAGCATCCACAGAATTCAGGGATTTAAGTGCACATTTCTCTGACGCAATGGAAAAGGGAGAAGGGGCTTTGTTTCAAAAAGGTAATTTCCTCCCCAGCCATGACTGTGTTCCCTCAATACTCCCTCCATGACCACTTATTACTTCTCAGCTTGATCTCCAATTTTTCTCTACCCTCTTTTCCAATCAGTGTGAGAGCAGTGGGACTCAGCACAATGCTCTCTGGCCTCTTAGCCAGCAGTGGTGCGAGGGCTTGTGCCTGGAGCAGCAGCGTCCATCTGGCGCAGGTCAGATTCAAGCTGCGGTCCCTGGAAAAGTGCAGGTGCCCAGAGCACAACCCAGGATCATTACAGCAAGTAGTGAATGAAACACTGCCTTTCTGCAACCCATTGAACAAATGGACCAGGATATTGTCATGCTGCAATGTATCCAAAATATCTGCGTGCCAAAAGCCCTGAACATCAAAACTGAGTATTTAAAATCAGAAAAGTGAAAATCAACACTTAACGGGGAATTACATCCCTAGGTTGCTGCAGTAAATGTCCTGGGCTCCTAACGTGGTTGTGAAATACATTCACTGTACAAACGCTGTAGGCAAGACAACTCCTGGAACACATACAATTTGTAAGTTTTACAACAGGTTGTTTGGCTTTTCGATAGGCTGCATTATAAATGGCCTTAAAATATTGAATTTGCTCTCTAACAGAGAACAATGCCCAATTAACTAGAGCTCATTAATCATGAATGGAATCAATACAAAGGGGAGCTCAATCTAGGTTACTTTATACTGTATTAAAAACTGTTCTCAACCAGGTCTATTGCTTCAGAGTTCAGTTATGCACACAAATGCCATCTGCAAACCCCATTCAAGCCACCACAGGCCCCAGGTTCCAGGTCCACCCATTACATTCCTTGATGTTGACTAAATATTTTACAACTTAAAAGTTTGGTCACAAAGTGTCATGATGTACAAGCAAAGCAGAAATGTCATCATGCTTCTCCTCTGACAGAAATCCTACCACTGCCAGTTCACAGCCCCAGTTCAAAGCCAGGAAACTACACCTGTGCACAGGGGACCAACCCTCAATCTAGAGGCTGGGATTAAACTCCTGTACCAACCCCACAAGTTTTTTGTGGCTAGCAGATCTGCAGGCTGGTGGCCAGTCTGCTGTCCACAACCTCCCCAAGAATATCTTCTTGTCTTCAAACATGCTGTACAGCTTCTAGTCTCTTTTGGTGCAAGGATGACAGTGGTTCAGTCTTCCCTGGTTATCAGGAATTCACCTAAAATGACAGCAGCTGTCTAGATGAGACCCTGGCTCTGCACCTCACAATAACTCCCATTAACATGTGAGAACCACAGCAATGCACAATACTTTTATGGCTCGTGTGCATCCGTTCCTTTCGCTCTCCCCTCACTGCAATAATAGGATTTTCAGAGGAAAAGCTCCATGCACCCTTGCAACAGGTTCTGGATGCTCATCTTACTTTGCTCCTGTGCTGCCATGCCGTGGAAGGGGACAGACATCGAATCCTTACAAAAATATCACATGGTATTTCAGACTGTACAGACACACATCTCACCCGTGTCAAAAGAAATGCTTGAATGATGGGGCTTTTCCCAACCACTGTACCGGGCTGCCTGACAAGTGACTGCTAGCAAGGAAGGAGGCTCGTTTCGGCATTGCATTTTCTGGTTTTCATCTTCCAAGGGATATTTGTGTAGCCTCCTGGAAGCTCACTGGCTCTCGTACATAAGAAGCCAGATTCCCAGTTACAATACCTGTGCAGACCAAAGCAAAGAATCCCTCCCCAGGTCTCTAATCTCAGGATACAAACTTTCTGTTTTAAAATAAATGTTTCAATTTAAAGATAGATGGATGGGTACAGCTGCACAGATGAGCATGTACCTAACAAACGGTACGCAGCATCATCTCCACAACCCAGGGGGGAGGCAGAGAAACTTGCAAACAATCTCAGATCACTGAGATGGGAAAGGTTCAGAAATAAATTGTGCCAAATTACTGCCCTAATTGAGCCAGCACAGCTTCAGTACCAACTACAAAAACTGGTCATGTAAAATACTTTGAATGTAGTAACACAATAAAATAATGATAGCATAACCATATTTGCGTGTCTCCTAGCTATGGTTCTCAAAGCTAGCAAATAATATGGCAGGCTGTCAGCCAGCAGCAAGAGCCAGCAGAACCTCACAGGGCAAGAGGAAAATAGTCTCCAGGAGATAGTAATGCCCCCTGGGCTAACTTTTGCTGAGAGTCACAGAAAATAGCACAACAAGAATAGTGGCCTCGGGTGACAAATCCAGGTAATGGGACAATTGATATGTATTATTACTGCAGACCTGAAGGCATGCTAAGCGCTCAACAGAAATAATTTAAGATACAGATCTTGCCCCAAATGGCTTGCCCTCCAAATTCTGACATACGAGGGCAGTCAGAAAGGAAGGACAGGTCACGGTGAGTAACTGTGAGAGCTCAGTAAGGAAAACTCATATCAAGAGGGTCTTCTTTAAGATCTCCTCTCTCTCCCCTGCCACTGCTGTCCTGGATGACACAGCTGACATGGGTTTTTAGGAACGCGCATGAAGGAGGGAAAGGCCAGGATGGTCAGGCTGAGGATGTTCCACCCCATGCACAAGGAAGGAGAGCGATAAATTATCAAACCTGGCATGACTTATAAAACAGATGGGGAAGATTACCTTCCCCAGTGGAAATCAAGAGTCAGATTCCTACAGGAAAGCACCTGCTGACAACCTGGAGACATCTAGACAATCCCATAAGCTATACAACTATGTTCTTCTTGGGCTACAGCATGTCCAGGGGGGCGGTTTCAGTAATTTCTCTGGAGATATACAAAACCTTTTGCAGTCAATGCAGAGACACCCTTGACTCAAGCAAAGTTACATCCAAAGCCCAGTGAAAGCTATTGATATATCAAGAGAATGCTATAAACACTGATATTTTGATAAAGGACTTCAATCTTATGCATCATTTTTAGACACTGGCTTCTCATATTCTCCTCACACTCATCTGGCTTCTGTGGTAGCCAAAGATATATGGCAGAAATTAAACTTTGGCTAAACTAGTATTAATATACCTTCAAGTCAAGGTATGTTAACAGATTAATAGATACAGAGCTTTGGGTCACACTTTCTATTAAGGATGCAGTTATAAATGGTTGATTTATAACAGCTTATACATGATTAATGGATATTATAAACATGCTACAGATGCGAGTAGTTTGTATCATAAACATTTATAAGCCTATCAGCAGAGAGTGTTATAAATAGTTACAAGCAGCCAACTGATCTGTAGGACTGTTAAAATAATAGATGTTGAATAAATGATTAATCAGTAATCATTAGCTTCTTATTTACTATTTATAACTGTTCCATTAAAACTAAGCATGATTGGGGTGAACTGGAGCACTCATAACTGACTTTGGGCATCTCTATAACAGGCTGGCCAATGACTCATTACGGCTGATAACTTCAAGGTCAAGCAATCAAGAAGATAATGATATTTGGAGCCATTGTCAAGGGGCAATGAATGAATGAGGACTTAAGCAATTTTTATATAGAATTTAGCAAGAGGGAAATAGAGATGTTATAAGGAGCATTCATCAAAGCTGAAAATAGTTCGTACAGCTGTATCAGTTTTTCTTGAGGTCCAGGACCAATTTCTGATCAGAAGATTATCTGACTCAAAAAGCACAGGTTCTCTGTCTGAACCCCACTGCCTCAACCAGTCTGAAAGGTTTTACTTTTCATCCAGTGCCAGAAGAAAACAAATGTCAAATCTCCCAAATGTTGTTGTGAAACAAACTGTCCTCCAGGCAGCTCTAACCACTGGGACTGAAAATAGCCTTGTCTGGGATGCTGATGTCAAGATTAGTTTCAGAGGGAGTGATGATATGAAAGAAGATTCAGTTTATCCCCTTTATCGAGGCAATGTCTGCAAAACACAGTGATTGCCAAGTGCAGATTGAATGAGATAAGAGCAACCTGACACAACTGGAAGTTTGAGAGGATAACGCTACCTACCCACCTACGAAAGCCAAGTATTTAATACCTCTCAGGGCTATCTAGAGCCACGTTCCATTTTTGAAAGATCAGGCGGTAAAGATTGGATCAGGATTTTTGTAGGTTATCATCTCATCACAAACTTGCCCAATTTGAGGAGCCATACTCTGAAAAGACTTTACTTTGAAAGATAGCGCTAGCAACAGTTAACTCTCAACAGAATTTTCTAACTTAGGAATCAATGGGAGATGGAAGGAGAGGAGTGCATGCTAAATCAGCCACAGTCTTAAACTGATCAGACACTTGGCAGAGGTCATGTACCATCTTAACTGTGAATGCAACCACAGACACTGGCAACAAGCCCTCTATTCTTTAGAAATGTAAAAATATAGGGTGCACAAAAATAGGAAACTGAATTAATGCTTTTGACTATTAAATCAAAGCCCATTTCCATCATTCAGTACTATTAAATTAGACATTCTGGCTATTCTATTCTTTTACTTGCAAAGGAAAATATTCTTCTTACTTTGATTCATAGTGTTATAACATCAGACAGAAAATACATTTCATTTTCTCCCCCCTTAACTTTCATCTTATGGGTAAGATCCTAGGAGATGAGAAATTCTTCAAATGTTACTATTAACCTTCTGCTAAATGTTGCTCAGTTACACTGGTATAAATACAGGGTAAATTTACTGCAATCTGTGAAGTTACTCTGGATTTACATCAGTGCAGCAGAGGATAGAATTTGGCCCATCTTTTAATACCATACTTAGAGCTGCACTGGGATTACCAAAATCAGAACTCATTTTTCAAATGTAGGAATTAAAATAAAACCCTGATGCTAGCTAATGTTCATATAAAGTCTGCTTCAGTGGGAAGCAGACTCAGAAATGTTAGGCAGGTCTCCTGTCTTCCATTACTAACCCAGGACTTGTCCCTCCATGGCCATAAAAAGCTAACCTAGATCTAAAGATTTGGAAACACTGGAATGCAGTCTAATTTATGATGGCAACAGAGTAAGCTGTACCATTCCAGTTGAGGCCCTAGTTATTGGCACCTGTTTCATTTGTATCCAAATTATAATTCCTGTTTAGTTGGATTTCGACTCTAAGTATGTTCTTTTATTTCAAGTAGTGACCCGATAAACCTATGGCAAGACTCTGTCTGATTAACAGTAAACCTCCTGAGCACTATGGGATACAGCTACAGACAGAAAATGCTTCACTTTTACTGGAATGCTCAAATTACAATACTACAGCTACAATAATAATAGCATATTTTTTAAAGAAACATGGGGGAGAATTTTCATTAAATAAAATAAGGACTGTTTGTGGTACGCCCTTTGGGATTGCGGATAACTTAATGGGAGCAAATTTATTCATTTATTAGGTGCACTAATGGCTGCACTTTTAACATGTTTATTTGTTCTAGGTGCTTCTTCCTACAAATGTCCTAAGTGCAGCTTATCATACGCCATCACTAGTGAGCCAGACACAATGCTAGCGACATCACTCCCTTGTGTGCCATAGAAACTGGCTTGCCTTAACTGCAGCAGCCCCATGAACAACTAGCTCGGGACAGACCTTAGACTGTGCACTTAAGTCAGGAAAATTCAAAACACCAAATTTCCCTCCCGCCCACCCCCTGGTTGAAGACTCCCCCACATTAAATTTTCGCAGCCATTTTAATCCGCACGGGGAGGGTGGGGAAGAGAGATGAGCTTGATAGGTCTTGAGATGTTTGTGCTTCCCAGGGCACTCCAGCTCTAGCACCAGTATCGTACCAACCAGATTCTGATCATGTGGGGTTCAGTATTTCTACACACAGCTCCTTGTCTTTCTGGAAATGCTAGTCTCCAGTATCCAGGGGTCAACCATACATATCACTCATTTCTTAACATTGATGCTGGAAACTGGATGACACATGACATTTAGCAGCATCTGAAAGGAGTTGCCATACCCCAAAGGCTGGCCAAAATGGGAAACCTTAAGCAAAACAGAAGCAGCATAGCAACTCTGTGCCATCCCTTCCCTGTACTGCTAAATGGACACATCTAAAGCAGATTTGTATGATGATTCAATGAAGGCAATGGGGAAAGCATCTCAGAGACAAGGGCAATGATATACATATCATATTCATCAGTCTTTCATCAGTCCCATGGGACGCCCATGCCCGCTACGGGACAGGGAAGTCCGGGTGAGGGTGATCCCCTGCCCTCCATTGATGCTGAGTTTGTGAAGGAACATCTTGAGAAGCTGGATACCTTCAAGTCAGCCGGCCCTGACAATCTTCACCCCAGGGTACTCAAGGAGCTGGCGAGCATCATAGCCCAGCCTCTAGCACGGATCTTTGAAAACTCTTGGAGCTCTGGTGTAGTGCCCGAAGACTGGAAGAAGGCCAACGTGGTGCCTATGTTCAAGAAAGGGAGGAAAGTGGATCCGGCTAACTATAGGCCCATCAGCCTGACTTCTATCCCGGGGAAGATCTTAGAAAAGTTTATAAAAGAGGCCATCCTTAATGGACTGGCCGACGCCAACATCTTAAGGGATAGCCAGCACGGGTTTGTTGTGGGTAGGTCTTGCTTGACCAATCTCATTTCCTTCTACGACCAGGTGACCTATCACCTGGACAAGGGAGAAGAGATTGATGTCATATATCCTGACTTCAAAAA